TTGAATCTAATAAATAATATTATTTAGATTACTAAAAGTGATTAAAAATTTCAAATTATACTCTGAAAATATTAAACAGAAAAAAATAAATTTTGAGTTAATACCAATATATAATATATTATTTATTAATTCAAATTGATAAAAATTTATATTTAAGTATTATTAAACTTAATAAATGAATTACTTAGAATACAAAAATAACTTACTTTGATCAAAGTATATAAATTATGCTTTGAAGCTATTAAATAAAAAAAAGTTTTTTTTTTTTTATAAAAAATAAAAAAAAAAAAAAAATAGGTTAAATATGTATTTACTATCATAAATTTCCAATTTTGTAATATACTAAAAAATTAGTGTAAACTAACTCTTTTAACTATTAAAAGAATAACTTGATTGTTAGTAATAATTTTAAAATTTATAATAAATAGCTAGCTCACAATCCTTATTTTTTTTTTTTGCGATTAATACAATTAATTTCAAAATGCCTGCCGTTTAAGGGATACCAATCTTTTGTTAATTGGCATAATAGGAAAATAAAGTTTTTGTAATCAGGAACTGCGTTTTTTTATGTACCAGTATGATACAAAAAGAAAAGGATATGATATCATAGAAATATTTTTTGCTTTACATGCAGGAAACTTATATTCGTCAAACATGTGCCTATCTCATAATTTTGTGACGTTGAGATCATTAGCTTTAATTTTTAATTTGTCGTTTATATAAATAAATAAGTAAATAATTTACACACTACAGTGGAAGATTGGATCGATTAGAAAATGATGAAATTTTATTGTTAGCCTTGATTTATAAAATTTATCTTAGTTAAAGTGATGGAATGATTTTTCATACTATATTGGTGGTATTAAAGGAACGGTTAAAAAATGAGCCAGATGTCCAACAAATTGATGAGTAATTATAGTCACTCTTTATGAAAATAATCAACATTATAATGTATATAATGTTCAATTCATGTTGTTAAATATGAAAAAATTGCAAATAATAATCTCTCATTTATATTGTGAAGAAATTGCAAATAATAATCTCTCATTTATATTTTGAAGATGGGATGATGCGCCGTTTACATATTAACAATATAATAAGATTTGCAATCCGTATTGGACGTTTCTCTTGGCTTTACTTAGCTTCACATGGTCACTGTAAAGGTTTATAGTAGAAAAGTGGATGAAATTTAAACAGGTCAATTTGTTGCGCAAGTTCAATAAACATCAGCGACAATGACATATGTTCTCATTATTTATTTCGTTGACAGAGTAATGAATCCATGCTTCGTTTGTAAGAACAGATCAAATAAAAATGATTCAGTATAAAAATATCAGACAAGACTATCCTTCTCAATCAATTTGTCGAAACACATTTGACAAATAAGGACTTCACATGATAGCCATTTCCTCTCAAACTAGTAATAGGTCATGCAAGGTGTCGTGAAGATTAAACAATATGTATTCAAAATATGGAATTTTCAAATGCTATAGACACAATGCATTTATGTAACCTAAAGAAATTCTTTTATGAAAATCTGTCAAGGAATTATTTCAAAAACTTTGTTTTGCAACTAATAAAGTTCATTTGAAACAATATGTTCTTTGTGATAAAGGAAGGTATGAATAAAAGCAGACGCAAGAAACGCAAGGTACCCGTGCATTTGATGTAACCACATTGAGTTGATCTTTTATTATTTAAAATCATTTTTGAAACATGTCATGGTTATTTGTCACGACCAAACGTCACTTACCGTCTTATTAATAGGAAAAGTTTGTCTTGGATTTATTCAAAATTATCCGTTTTAACTTGTAAAACGAGATCAGAAATCCCCTATTGTGATCCTTTTAATACCTTGACGTTTCTGATTGTGTTTGACTCCGGATTAGATAATGGGATCAACATTTTTTTTTTTTGACACACTTTTTACATAATAGGAAAACAATTAATAAATTCTACTTCATATATAAGGAAAATCGTGAATAACGAAAATGTAACATTTGTTTACTATATCGAGACGGAGAAACAATTCCCGCCAATTCTTAAGAAAAAAAAAATTGTTCACATGTACTATTATTATTTTTAAATGAGTAACGGCAAAATCCGTCCTTTTTTTTTATATTTTTTTCTTTTTCCTACATTTAAACTTATTTAAACCTATTTAAACCTAATAATTAACTTAAAATGTTCCATTTTTAAAATCAAAAGCTTTGCTCCACATCGTTATTAAGGTTGATCGGCAACTGATTAATATTTCCATTGTCTTATTCTCTTCATAATTCGGCCGTTTGTTAAATGTAACCATATTTGGTTCAATTTCTGTAACATCAAAAAGTTTTGGAGTCGAACCTAAAAAAAAAAATGTACAGCATATTTATACATTTATACAGTATAACAAAAAATATTTCGGAAAACAAAAAAAAAAGTTTCAGCCAAAAAAAAAAAAAATCATTTATAAACGTATGCAAAAAACTTTTCTAAACTTTCAAAAACCAATTTGTTATTTTTTTTTTTTTTTTTTTTTTTTTTTCATTTTACTCAAATTCTTCCTTCACGAAATAAAATAAATTAAAATAAACTTCACACGCCATGGGTAATATCATAAGTGATCATTCACCGAGATTAAGTTTGGGTGGTAAGAAACGAAGAAAAGTTCAACCACATAGACAACCTTCAACGATATCGGCTACATCGACAGCAACAGCAAGTTCATCGGATTCTACATCATCATTTCGATATATTGACGGTCGAAGATTCAATGAAAATACAAAATACACCTTACCAAACGATGATGAAGAGATTGATAGGTTACATATGCAACATTACTTGCAAAGATACATATGGCAAGGAAACTTTTGCGCTCCTGTACATAATATTCTAAGGACCCCTGGCGCAAGAGTTTTAGATGTTGGATGTGGACCTGGAACTTGGATATTAGAGATGGCCTTTGATTACCCAGACACTCATTTTACCGGAATTGATATATCACCCATGTATCCCAAAGAGATTAAACCAAATAACGTGGTATTTGAAGAAGCTGATATAAATCAAGGACTTCCCTTCGCCGATAATACTTTTGACTTTGTTGTGATGAGAAATATGGTCAACGCCTTAAGTGATGATGATTGGCAAAAAGCTTTAAAAGAATTGGAAAGAGTTTGTAAACCGGGTGGATTCGTCGAATGTTTAGAATTTGAAATTCCAGGAGTACGTCTCGGACATACCACAAAACGAATGGTAGAAGCTTGTAAGTTTTTGGAATATGATTATGACTCGTTTATCAAAAAATAAAAAAAAATTTGAAATCATTCTCTAATTGTCATTCTTTTTTCTTTTGAAAATTCAGATATTCAAATAATGCGCACAAAGAATATCGATGTAACAATAGCACCACGCTTGGAAGAAATGTTAACAACAAGCACGTCATTAATGAATTTGAAACATCACGTTAAAATGGTCCCATTTGGCAAATGGGGTGATAAAGCCGGTAAAATAATGGCCGACGATTTACTTTTAATAGTAAAAGCCATTGCACCAATTCTTATACCATTATGGGGCGTTGGCGCAAGTCAATATCAAGAATTTACAAACGGATTAGCAAGAGAATTGGATATGGGAAGAGCCTATTGTAATATACATACGATTTTCGCTCAAAAATATGATACATATCATTATATTTAAGTTAAAAACAAACAAATATGTAAATTAATTTTTCGATAGATTACTTTTTTATTGATAGCAGCATTTCATAGCTTTTTAGAATTCTTTACTTCATAACAAAATAAATCATGTTCACATCGAGTGCAATATCGAATCACCGTATTATTATATTAAAAAGTTCACCGCAGATTTTTTACATTATCCCTGGTGGAAGTTTTGTTAAAAAATTAAAATGCACATGCACGGGTTTATTAATTTCATGTAATGAAAAAAAATCTTCAAGGAATGAATTTTTTACCACTGAGAGCAAGAGCGTACAACAGGTTAATTTATAACGTTGACATTCCCGCTGACCAATAAAATTTGTACAATGGCAACAATTTGGATTGAATGATGATGAATAATATTTATTCGTTATATTTATATATTTATATTTATATTTATATATATGTAAATTATGGATAAAATCTATTAATCTATTTGAAAATCTATTGTTAATATATATATTCTATAATAATTATACTGTACAGTAAATATACACTTTTTATATGAAAATACAATAATTATGGTGCTCATGATGTCATGTCCGCATGTGGCAATTTTACACGGCGCCTAGTTTACCTTTTCCTCATACGTGCGATTCTAATTAATGTGGCGTAGTACATCATTATTTTTGCGCCTTAAGATGGAGGGCACTCGTTTTGTATGAAAAATGATTACTTGATCAATAACCACCTATCAAACAATAATTCGGCAGAATATAAAGATTTGGTCGAATAGGTTGACGACATTTCTCGCTATTATGTATGAATGATTTTTTTATGTAAATAGTACATAGAAATGTAGAGAAAAGAGAGAAAAGAGAGAGAAAGTATTGGTAAGCAAAAAAGATGAAGTGGAAAAAAAAAAAGTTTTATTAAAAAAATAAAAACGGGTTTCATAAAGGAAAAAAGAAATATTAAAATTTTTTTAGAGATAGGGAAACATCCTCTTTTTTTTTGTTCTTGTTTTTGTACTTTTTTTTTTTTTGTTCCCCCTCATAATAATATATTATTGAATCTTAGCATAGAGAATTATTTTGTTAAAAAAATACCATAAAAAAAAAAAAATTCAAATAACTTAGTGAAAAATCATACACTTAATCTCTTTTTACTCCTCTTTTTTTTTTTTTAAAAAAAAAAAAGAAAGAAAATTACTGTAATAAATATATATATATTCCTTAAATAACATTTTTTTTTAAAAAAAATAATAATTATTAATTTGAAGTTTTAAATTATTTCTATACGAATTTTTTATCCTTTTTTTTTTTTTTTTTTGGTAAATCCCCTCAACTCTAATTATTATTTGCCAGATCTATTTCTTGCCTCATCCAATTGAAAAGGCAATACTACATCGCGTTGTCTATTACTATTAACGCGATTAACGAAATCCTCGAATTCTTTACTAAAGGGACGAATTCTTATATACCTGACTTCAAAGTTCTCTCCAAATCTTCTTCTCGTTTTGTCGGGTGAACTTGAACCGTTGTTTTCGGTATTGTCGTTGATGAGTGGTCGGACCATTTCAGCTGTTAAATTGGAGCATTGGGTAATTTCCAACAGTTCTAGATTTTTGCATTCTGAAATCGAAGTCCATTCTCCACAATCTTTAAAATCAACCTGATCAAACGATATCTGCCGAAGTGTGGACGTATGCGATGCAAGTGCGGGAAAGAATATTCTTGTGTAGCCCTTACATACCGATAATCGAAAGTAGCGAAGGGATCGTTGCGAGGATATTAGGGAAGCTATACATTCTCCCGTTCTTTCAATGTGCTTTTCAAAAGCGTGTCGTGACCAAAGCGTATCTATACATAAGGATTCCTAATGATTTATTTATAAGGGAAGGAGAATAACGTGCGGAAGAAAATTAATATACTTGTCGTTTATTTTTTTAAAAAAAATCATCAGTACACCTACCACATTATGACAAATTCGTCCTAAAAGTGTAAATAAATCATCTCTCCTACATGGGCCGTGAATCTCCAAATGCTTTACATTTTTGACTAAATTCATGCATTCAGGTTCTTCTAATACTTGGTACAAGTCATAATCATTCTTTAGTCCGGGATAAATCCACAAACTGCATAAACTTGCACCTTGTTGCATGGAAAGTTGAAGCAAACTTCTCATAATTAATTTTATTTGATCGTTTATATTATCATTCTCATCATCGGTTTCCTCCTCATCTGCCTCCTCATCCGATAATAAATCCCTCACCGATCTCAATAGAGATTCGTACATTAATGTACGTATATATTTGGGATAAGGGAACATTGGTTGAAATTGAGGGTGAGATGAGTTGGTGATAAAACTCAATGCCATGCTTCCTTGTCGTTGCCTATCGTAATCCTCCTCCTCTTCCTCCTCCTCTACCTCGTCTACCTCGTCTAATTCCTCTACACGTTCAATTAATCTGTCAATGTCAATTCCATTTTCGATCAAATTATCTCTGGCATTGCCATTTAGGCACTTTAAATACATTGAAGTTACCCTCATACTTTTTACGAGCCCGAAATGAAACGGCTGTTTCCATAGAATAGGAATAGCGATTTTACACCATTCCCTGTTAACCAGAATACATTGATATATATGATTTAATGCATCGGTTCTATATTCTCCCGATATTGGATCTGTTTCGGTAAGATGTAAAAACACTTCATGAAGAATGTCCGGTAATAGAATGGTCATTTTTTTTTTTTTACCTGTATTATAGGAAGTGTTTAAAGATTAAGGCGTTTAAATATTTTTTAGGAAAAAAAAAAAAAAGAAGTATTTGTTGAAAGGAAATTTTTTTTTTAAAAAAAAAGATTAAAGTTGCGGTGTTGTGAAATGATATTGTGCGCTTGAATTGGTTTAATTTTTTTTTTTAATTTTTGTTGATATTAAATTGTAAATAATTATGTATTGTTGCAAATAATTTAAAAGAAAAAAAAAAAATAAATCAAAAATCAAAATAAATGTTGCCTTTTCAATTTTTCAAGGGGGGGAGAGAGGTGGGCTGGGGATATTTTGTATTTTAATTTTTTTTTTGTTTTTTTTTGTTATTTTGTTTTTGTTTTTATTATTATTATTATTATTATTTCGTATCCTTTTATTATTTCAATTTCAATTTTTTTTATATTAAGAGTAATATATTATCCTCTCTCAATTCTTTTTTAAAATGAAATCTTTTTTTGGAAGAGATGATTTTTTTTTTTTTTCTGAAAAATTCAGGATGAGGAAGGGTTAGAATTTATATTAAAAAAAAGAACCCAAATCAAGATAATAAACAAACACCAAGAACTTTAAGGTTTTTTTTTTATTTTATTTTTTCTTTCTTTATTCAACAATCGGAATTATCGAATGTGTTTGGTCGGGCTGTATTTTTTTTGTTGTTGTTGTGGTGGTGGTGGTTGTTTGTTTGGAGTAATTAAAATGCAACCAGTATATGACCGTCGTTTTGGTAAAAGTTGATAATAACCCCCGGGAACAAAGTTGTGGCTTGTAAATATTTTTTAGGTTAATACCAAAGTCAAAAATCTATAAAAGGTTTAATAAATATGTATATTCACTTTAATGCATGGTGTCAAATGGGAAACAAAGACCTATGATGGAAAAAATAAAATAATCTAGTTTCGAGTTCAAACGCTTTTATTTTTTTCTTTTTTTTTTTCTTTTGATTAATCGAAATCCTCCAATATATGGACGGACCATCTTGTTTTCCTAAACGGATCAACAACAATTACTTAAGAATAAAGGAAGCGTGTGTTCATTAAAAAAATAAAAATGCACAGACGCTGAACAAGAGAAATTGCCATAAAGAACGGTTTTGAAGATCAAACAAATCACATGAATTTAACAGAGTTGATTCGTTTATATATCGTGTTACAGAAACAAACTGACGGTTTCCAATTACGACGATTTTCCCATTTTAAACAAGGACTTTCTCCACAACAAAGACTCGAACATGCTTACATATAATAACCTTGTATGGGGAGGGTCCCATCTTTTACCGTTATTATTAAACAACGGATTCTTGTAGTAATAATATTCGTTTGTCATGTAAATTTGACAACGAAAAAGGCAAAACAAGCAAAGCCACACCCACAAGAAACTTATGTCATGCCGGTAAATCAATGAACGATTACGATATCATCATCGAATAGCATGTGTAGAATTGTCGAAACGAAATTTTCAACCCTTTGTCTTTTTTGAAGTTTGAACTATCTACCATCCATCAAATGCGGATGATGATTGATCGCTACAAAAATCTCACACATTAAATGAGAGAAATGGTCGTTATTAGATAATCTTGTACCTTGATTATTTGATAATTAACGTTTCGAAAGTCAACGCTAACGTCTTTTGGGAGAAGAAAAAGGTTGTATCACTAAATGTCAAAATGTTGTCAAAATATTAGAGTCAGAAAAATAAAAAAAGGGGGGGGGGGAATCCTTGTTTAAAAATCAAACGGTTTGCGTTAGGGGGGAAACAAACAAAAAAAAAGTTTCCCGCCAAAATTTAAAGTTTATTCCTATAATGGAATGAATGCAATAAGTTAAAAATTAACTTTTGAGATCAAATATAAAATAAAAAACGTGCTCAAAAACTTGTTTATGTGTGAGACACATAAAAATATCCCGATGATAAAGTTAGAGATGGATAAATTTAAAAATGGATAAATTCGTTATAAAAAAAAAAGCTAAAACTTTATTCCTCCTGCCATATAAAGACAATATGCTAATATAATCAAACGGTTGTATTCATGTTGCAATTTTCCTTTCTTGTGTTCATCGATGATTCATCCAAAGAAATCTCCGTTAGCAATTTCTTGTAACATATGAAACAGGTTTGGCAAGTTTGACATTTTGACTAAACTAAAAACAGGTTTAACCTTAAATATGACGTGAAGCCTCTTCCCCATTACAACGCTGACACTACCAAAAGATAAATGAATTATTGATGTCCCGTACATTGTAATTTATAATCATTTGAGACCGTGAGGCCGTAAGCGACTAAGCTACGCAATCGAATACTTAATAGGAAACGAAGTGTTACCTCGTATCTTGCCGACGCAGTATCCTTTTTTTTTTTAAGAAAAAAATAAAATAATTCTGGTCATGTGAGCAAAATCATTGGTGACTGCGGTTAATCGGTCAATCTTGTAAAATCTCCGAGAATAAAAAGTTCAAAAATAAAAGAAAGCTTATATTACAATTTTTATTGAATTTCTGAATAACATGAATTCAAATTTAAAACAAATTATAAATTACATAAAAGGAAAATATATCGCATTAACAATTATTACATAATGAAAACTAATCTTAAAAACATAAATGATAATTATTATTATTGATTTTTGTTTCCAAGCATTTTTACCAAGAAAACCCCCAGCATAATGCAAGCTATTATAAGGATCACACACATCCAACATAGGAAAACTCCAAATGTGATTCTACATCTTGGGAGACATGGAAATAATTTGCATCTCCTTTCTAAATAATATGTAACAGAAAAAAAAAGGTTAAATCGTCATATTGTGGAAATTTCAATTTAATAAATCTCCTTACCCTTCTTTATTCGCGATTCTTCTCCCATCTGCTGCAAATGATGATGAAAAAGCAAATATTAATATTTTACGAGATTTAAAAGAGAGTAATATTTTGAAGCAAAAAAAAAACCTCGTACCTCTATTAAAGATTATAAAAAACAAACGAACGAATCGATTAAATAAGATTTTATCAAATAAAAATGTAATCGACTAAAAGCTTAAGATTTTTAAAACTCACCCTCACTGAACCCGCTATCAACTCCGCCACCAGATTTTTTCGAGACCGAATTAAGATTCTTCGATGACGTGGAAACGACATTATTGGCCTCGTTCGGGTGAACTTCGATACTAATTGAATTTTCAAATTTCACTTTTACATCCTTTCTCTCGACGCCTTTTAAATAATTCCCATTGAAAGTCGTCATCTCAAAATCTTCATCGTACACCGGAGTCAAATTCATCCTGCCCAATATGGACAATACACCGTCGACGGTCGGTCTTGCCATGGGATCATTGTCCCAACATTGTTCATATAAATCGATGTACTCTATGGGTGTGCCTAGGATAGGTTTGTCTCTTGATCCCGATAAAATTTTTTTGGCCACTTCAAAATTATGACGAAACGAAGAGAAAGGAGCTCTCTCGCTTGATATTTCATACATTAATAATCCTAAACTATATATGTCTGATCTTTTGTCACGTGGATAAGACGGATTGGCTAGAACATTAGGCTCAATGTAGGGCAAAATTTCGATGTTTTCTGGTATTGAAGCATCCATCGTTTTTGAAAGTCCCAAGTCACCTATTACCATTCTACCATTATGAACCAGCACGTTATGTGGATGCTATGATATCAAACACGAAAGGTGAATCACACGAACAGGTGAATATAACGAAAAAAAACCGAATGATGATTTACCAGGGACGTGTGCACGATGCCATGGCTGTGTATGCACTGTAGACCATTTGTTATGTCGATCGCCAACCTCATTTTATCATGCCAAGTGAGTTTCTGGTGTTTCTCTTTTAAATATTGTCGTAGGTCTCCTCCGTTGGCAAATTCCATTACCAACAAATAATCTCCGTCATCAGCTTCTCTGCTGTACCCAAAGATTGTTAGAATGTTTTGATGATAACTCAATTGATGAAGTAACTTTAGCTATTAGCATAAAAAGAAGTAGAGGGGGTTAATCACCAAAGTTGTAAACCTTTAGAGGTTGTTTATTATTCTTTCACTTGCCTTTTCGATATCTAATGTTTTCACCTTCTTTAATATCACATGAGCGTTCGCATTCCTCAAAAACGCTTTGAGCATTCCATTATTTAACGTATTTATGTCTTTGAAAGAAGAATAATCGATAAATTGCAATTGCACTTTGTTCATTTCATTATTTTCATAATCACTTGAATTACTTGAAATTGAAATTGAATTAAGATTTCCTTGGTCAGATGAATAGTACGAACTTGTGCTTGTGAAGGAAATTGCAATCTCTGCTGTTTTATTTGATTCCATAACTTAATTTTATTTTATTTTTTTTTTTTAAAAAAAAAAAAATTAAATTTCGCTCGTGCCTTTGTTCCGTTTCGTCAAACAAAGGAAAATAAAAAAAAATTAAAAAACTATTTAAAAATAATTTATATAAAATGAATGACTAAAAAAAAAAAAAAAAAATTAGATATTTTTTTTTTCCTTTTTTTTATTATTTATTATTATTTTCCTACGGAAATCTCTTCAATACCAAAATGCGTAATCACTATATATATTTATATTTTTCCTCGATAATGGTTTTATTATACAAATAAAACTAAAATTGGCCAGTTGATATACAAAATCAGGTTCGCGTCACATCAAATAGGGAAATGAAAATCTGTTTGGGTATCAAGAAATTCGTTTTCCCAATGTGCTACAATTGAAGTTGAATTAATAGTTGAGGAGCTTTTGAATTTTTTTTTTTTTTTTTTTTTTGAGTGAGTATTTTGTATTTCGTTGTATGATTATCATTCATCGGTTTTATATTATTTGTTTCCGCCAAGGTGTGTGTGTCAATATAAATTTATTCTTTGGGTGAATTTCATCCTTTTTTTAAAATGGTTTTTTTTTTTTAAAAAAAAAACAGATGTATAAAGGGGAGGTTAAAAAAATAAAAATAAAAAAAATTCATTCTAAAACTTTTTCATTGAAGCTAGTTGGATGGATCAATGTAATTAATACATTTGACTATGTTTGGCAGTTTTCCATGCTTACATGAGGAAGAAACGTAGATTAAAAATCTCTTGGCCTTAAAAGCAATAATAATCCTGAACATGAACAGGAAATCATTTATTAAAAATTTATGCATTGTTTCTTCCTTTTCATCAAAAATAAAAATTTTTGCCAAATCCGTAAAACAAAGTTGATCGATTTGACTATAAAAGGAAATAATATTTTTATAGCTCTGTGCTCTTCACCTCGAATATTAGGAATTGCAATATTATCGGTTACGCAATTACTGTTGAAATTCTAATGAAGATAACTTTGTGCGCACAAATAATATGTAAAAAGAGGATACGTTACGTTGCTTTTTCATATTTAAGCTGTTAACAATGGTAAAACGGCATATTAAATTGAAATATTATTATTACATTCCCTGATTTGGAAGAAATACATTTTATTTTAAATTTAATTTGATTTCTTTTTTTTTACCTGATTAATTATCTATGTAATAATCAAATTTAGTGACTTTATTATTTATTTTTTTATATTTATTTTCCTTAAATGAAATTTCATAATCAACTAAAAAAAAAAATTTAGAGGAAATTGTGTGGTTCAACGGAAATGAACCACTCAGATCGAAAAAAAAAAAAATTATCAGATACACTGTATATATGCTATGAAACATTATTATACATTAAAGGGATCTCTCTTTCTAGCTTCTTCCGATTGTTCCGAAGATTGTTCTGGACCAAAATTTCATACCCATCGAACCAAACCCGAATTATTTCAAACCTAAACTCTTTATAGACTATGGAAAAAAAAAAGAAATAGATTTTCATGAAAAAAGTGTCGAATTAAAAGTTCAAACAGTTGTAAGAGAAAAATCACCTTATTTTTTTTTTCGATTAGAGTTACAATCTTTTTTTCTTTTTTTAGGTCACAAGATTGAAATAAATAATAAATATAATGTGATCACGTTGTGAAATCATGATTTTAGGCATACTGCAACAAAACCAGATAAAGTGAACATTGTATTACCAAAAATTTTTAGGGATCAATATTGTTTTTTAACATAATGTCTCATTTGTTAAATGATATATATATAACACTATCCTATATAAAAATAAAAATATGAAGTTAATTTACATTAGCTAAGAATTATAGTACTATCAGAAATATTTTGAAGAAAGAATAAGGTGAAAAAATTGCTTCTTACCCTGAATATTATACAATTATTTATATTAAATTTAAGTATAACATATATCAAAAAATACTTAATTATATATAACACTAATTTTTCACTAAGTAAGTATTGACAAAATTTACAGAACTAATTTTTAATATATTTACTATTATTTTCTAAACTCTAATCTGATATTTGAAAGTACTTAACTATATACTATATAAAGCTGATACTGAATAATCAAATTCTGAATTTAAAACTTAGAATACTAAAGTATGTATATAATTTTATTTTATTTAAATATCAAAAAATACAAATAAGAAATAAGTATATGTTATTCATTTATTAATATACTTCTTTATTATTAGTCTATATTAAGTAAGCTTCTGTTAATTTGAATAATATTATAATAAAATCAGAATTATCTATCTCTTTTACTTCTTCCTCTTGCTCTTCTATTAATCTTCTTCAATAAGTTCATTACTAAAATGTTGTAATCTATTGTTAAAAGATTTTATATTATCAAATATATCTTATTTATAATATTGCTCATAATAACCATATTTATTTTTTAGATTATTATAATATATCTAATGAAAATCATATTCACAAATTAGAATTTTACTATTATTATTCAATTAGATTTTACATGTATTACAAATATCTAATTTTAAAGAACAGCTTATATTATATTTAATTGATAGGTTTTTAATATCTACTTATTAGTTTAATATAATAAGATAGTATAATATAAGTATTTTTTTTTATTTGTATAACTATTATAGAAATTTTAATAAAGTTTAAAAATATTAAACTTATTTTACTTATTATATAATTAAATTTTAATAATATATAAGAATAATATTAACTTATTTAATATGTTTCTTTAAATTTATCTAAAATGTAAGAATTAAATTAAAATTTAAAATTTTAATTTAATTAGTTTACTATATTAAAAAATTTAAGTCTATGTAATAATATTTTCTACACTTACATTATAGAGATACTTATTTGAATTTTATTATGCATATTTTCTATTGTATAATTATTAAAATTATATAAAGCTATTTTTATTGTTTTTAAAAAAAATGCTTGATATCTTCTAATAGAAAAAAATTTGATAAGAATATTAATGATATTTTATTATAATTTCTACATTTTTAACATAATATAAAAGTTTATATAAAAAATAGTTTTTAACATATTTATTAAATAACTTAATTTAAAAAGTATAGTATATATATCAAAGATTACTAAAATCAAATTATCTAATAAATTAAATATTATTTGATATTTAATATTCTTACATATATTTTCAAATTTATTTTTAATTATTGTTTTAATTTTTATTTATTCACTATATGTTAATTTTAATAAAAAATTTATTTTTCAAAGTTTTAGTTTTTTGGTTAATTTTACATACTTTTCAAAAAAAAATAAAATAAATTTAAAAAAATGAGTAATATATTAATATCATTTATTCTTTACTATTAAGTAACACATAAAAAGATCTAAAAATTAGAATAAAAGATTATATATTAAATAAGATTAAGTTTGTTAATATTTATTCTTATATTCAATAAATAAATTAATTTAGTTAATTTGCAATAATTGAAGTCACAAATTATTAAGATAAATATTATTCTAAAATTATTTTAATGCATGTATATAATCTTATATTAAGTAAAATTACTGTTTTTTTATATTAACTAAATGTATATTTTTTATTGATTATGCTTTTTTTTAAAAAAATTACATCATTATATAGTATATAATAAGTAATTTAATACAATCAAAATTAATAAGTTTAGTATTTTATTAAATCTATTGAATTTTACATTCTATATATAGAAAGTTTATTAGAAAAATAAGACTTTAAGAATTTTTTGATTAAAATTAAAATCTTATTATATTTTAATCTAATAATATCAAAAACTAAAATATAATAAAAAATAAAATTTTGATAAATACTTCCCAAAGTCCCATTTTTCTAATAAATATTTCATATAATTTATCAAAAATTTCATAATATTTATTGATTAAATGATAATTAATATTAAATATATCTACATTTTTAAAATTATAGATTAAAGATCTATTATAAATAATAAAAATTTATATCTAATTAGTTATTTATTTACAATATATATTACCATATGATAAGCTGTTAAAATCAACTATATCAAATCTTCTTTTTTTAATTGAATAAAAATTATCTATTAAACATATATAAAAATTATTTTAATAAAAATATATAATACAGTCAACTTTTGATATAGCGAACTCTTGATATAACGAATTTTTTGAATAAATATAATAAAAATACTCTTGTTA